CTGTGTCTGTTTAAGCACCTTGGAGAACGCCACTCCGCAGCGGGGCGTAGTGCAGAAGCTGAATACGGATCGTGCGTAAACTACGTCAAATCCAGCGGAGGATGCGCAGAAACGTCTATTATCTTCACATTTGCCTGATGTTTTGTCTCTTTTTCACCTCTCACAGAGGTGTGATGGAAACAGAGACGATCTTTTAGAAAGACAGACTGAGGTAAGGCCACGATCTCTCCGTGTTTGTGTGGTTTTTTTCTTGCCCGTGTTTCTTTTTACCCTAATTTATTTATTTATTCTCCATTGTTTACGCAGTGAATCACCTGTTAGCTGATGCTGCGGCGTAAAGAAATGCTCATGTTGTTATTTTTGTGTTCATGCTGTAGGTCGGATTTCACAAGACTGATGATGTGCCATTTAAACCACTGTCTGCCTTGGTGGTATAAACAGCACGCAGAGCTCACATACCGGAGGCTTTAAATAGATCTATTAAGGCCACAGGAGGGGGAGGACCGTTGCAGGGGGGATATTCTGGGACATTTCACTGCTGTGATAAACTTGAATGGGCACTTGAATTACCTCGTGCAGATTTGCAATCATTTATTGTACCGTATCTACAAACATGCCCTCGACTTACACGGTGAGATCCAGGGTGCGTGAGAGGAACAGCGTCCTGGGCAGACCTGAGTTCATATCCCTGAACCAGCAGTCCCCGCGGGCCGCAGTCGGACCCCCGGAGAGCCGCGGCGGTTCCAGACGACCGCCTCAAGCCAAGCACCAAAGCAGCCAGAAGGCCGAGGAACCTACCGACAACGGCAGCAAGGACAGGAGAGAGTCCACCAAGATGCCGGAGGAGGACTGCATGCAGCTGAACCCTTCCTTCAAAGGAATCGCCATCAACGCCCTCCTCGCCATTGACATCTGCCTGTCCAAACGCATGGGGGTGTGCGCTTACACGTCCTCCTCCTGGGGAGGCTGCCGCTCCATGGTCGCCCTGCTGGCGCTGACAGGCCACGGGATCACGTGGATCATTGGCACGATCGTGTGTCTCACACGGAGCAACACCCTGGCAGGACAAGAGGTCTTGGTCAACCTGCTGCTGGGTAAAGGCCACATGACACCCAGCAACAAATCCAAAATAGGCAGAATATCTTCCACCCACAGGGTTATGAATGAATCTCATTCACATTTCTGAAATCAGTGCATCCTGCATTACATAACTATTTAATCCACTCTGCTTTTAATTTAAGGGTTTAGTGAACACATAATATTAACCATATTACCAACATGGTTGTTTTATTGAACAAATTATACAAGATGTTAAAAATGATACAAACTAAATTTATAAACTATTTTAAAGTTTTAATTTAGATCTGAACATATGACGACTTGTAATAGTTGTTACTATGATAAAAAATGATCAATATGCGGCTTGAATTTTGCTAAATGAAACAAGATGGTTTTGTCTAGTTTTAGGTGTATTTTTGTGTTTTAATTCTTATGGTGTAGTTTCTGTATTTTATTTGGGTTCAGTTTGTTTCCCCTATATGTTTAGGATTAGTGGAACCTTTTAGATAGAAAATCAAACATTGTTTTTGAGCAATTAGGCTCTTTGGGTTCATGTTTGTTCAAACCTCTGTTCACCATGATGAGTAGTTCTTTTAGTGACACACCAAACTTCAGGATGTAATCTGTAAAACTGACTGAGTTAAAAGTGATTTTTTTTTTGTTCCATAAGGTCACTTTGCTGTCAGGGCCGTCTTGAGTCTTGTTGATCTGATTTTATCAGTTCTAAATGCATATCCGATGTTTACTTTCTGCAAGTTTATTAAAAAATTCCTCTGTGGGAGGAGATAAAAGACAGGCAAACACACACGAGCAAAAACATTACCGATCTGTCTTCATTCAACTGCAGGTGATTTAAAATTTAGATTGAATACGTGAGTAATACATGCATGAAGTAGTGTATTTGACTTAAAATACAAAAAGTACTTTCTCAAATGTTTGCACATTTGTAGATGCATGCTCATTTTGGTGCAAACAACAAAACGTTTGTTGTCTCAAAACGTTGTGCCATAAAGACAGAAAGTTGTTGAAGCAAACATAAACTAATTTCCCTCTGGGAACTGAATTGAATTGAATGATCAGATATTAAAAAAAAAAAACAAGTAGCTCTGAGTCTGGTTTTCCAAACATAAACATGATTCATTCAGCAAAAACTTGCAATTGCAGGAGAATGTTTTTTTTTTTTTTGTAATACTACAAAACGTTAGCCAAATAGCACAATTGCCTAAGTTATATTTGGCCTGGCCAAGGATGACTTGGGTAATTATGCTATTAGGTTAACAAAGAATGTATATGTAAAGCGAACATGTCTAACAGGAGAAAATATATTGTCGATGTAAGCATAAAAAGTTTGCTGTGGGAGTTTGAAGCTGCAGACTGTTTTCAGGACTGTGGGTTAGGTTTTAAAAACTATTTGGTTAGGTTTAGGAAAACATCTTGGTTTGATAAAGACAATTATTAACACTAAAGCAGTCATAGTTACATGACCTCTGGCAGGGCAGGGGTCTTCAATGTTTTTCTGTCTGGGACTCACAAACTGATCAGGACCCCCAACTAAATATATACACTGCGACCAAATAGAAAAGTTGCCACCTGGATTTAAATTAGGTCTACGATGTGGGATTGCTGCAGTTGGTCAGGTCTAGGTTCAGCAAGAGTCTGTGCTCAAAGAATGAGGTCAGCTGACCCTGAATATACTAACGACAGGTTATTCCATCAATGGATTTTTTCTTCCCTGATAACATGGATATATTCCAAGATGACAATGTCAGGATTTGTGGGGCTGGAATTGTAAAAGTGTGGTTCAGGGAGCATGAGACATCATTTTTCACTCATGGATTGGCTCCACAGAGTCCACTGAGAACCTTTGGGATGTGCTGAAGGCTTTGTGCAGTGGTCAGACTCTACCATCATCAGTGAAAGATCTTGGGGGCAGGTGTGGCGGATTGGTTAGGGGAGTCATCCCGTAACCAGAAGGTCGCTGATTTGATCTCCCAGCTGTCTCAATCGTTGTGTCCTTGGGCAAGATACTTCACTCGCCGTGCCTACTGATGGTGGTCAGAGGGTCCGGTGGTACCGGTGCATGGCAGCCCCACCTCTCAGTGCGCCCCAGGGCAGCTGTGTCTACACTACAGAGTAGTTTGCCATCATCAGTGTGTGAATGTGTGTGAATGGATGAATGTCTGAAGTGTAAAGCGCTTTGGAGTCTGGAGGGATTTGAATAAAACGCTCTATAAGTCCATTTACCATTTAGGGAAAAATTAACGCAACACTTGATAGAAATAAATCTTCAGTTCAGTTTCAATTCTTTATTCATTTCATTAAAACAAAACAAATAATTTTATATACAATATACAATAAAGAGAAAAATAGGAAAAGGAAAATGAGAGAAAATACATACATGTATGTATCAAAACCACAAATAAAATGAAATGAAAGGCAGCAAAGAGAAGGAAAAAATCTTATGTCTGCCCCTTTTTTCTAGAATAAGTTCAAACAAATCTGTTATTAACAAAACAGAAGACAAGAACGTCTAATCCCTCTAGAACAACAATTTGTATAGATACACATTATACTGTTTCGTATTTCTTTAGCAATCCAACTTTTATCATTTTCTTAAATGTACATAATGATCGTGCATTTTTTACACCACTACCCAAATTATTCCATAGTTTTATTCCTTGAATTAAACTACACCGTTCCTTCAAACTAGTTCTGAATTTGGGTTTTACAAATATCTCTGTCCCTTTAAGGTTATAACAACTCTTTCTCTTAACAAATTTTACTTGGACGTTGTTTAACCAAACAATGTCACAGTGAATGTGTGCCGTGATCAAAGCTAAAGTCGATCTAATGAAATATTAGTGTTTGACCTTTTTTTTTGGTGGTGACTTGTTTTTTTTTTTTTTTTTTGGCCAGGCAGTGTATATACTGTATTGTGTTTTATAATATCCAAGGCATACTACATAAAGCAAGCCTTATTACCATGCATTTGATACTTAATTATACAAATAATACACAGCTTCATTATTTCACATATTTAATTTAATATAACTATGATTACAAACGTGTGATGGCCTGTTAATGTCATTGCCATAAACAATTAGTTGTTTTGCATAAAATGCAGAATTGATGTCATTAACACTACTGTGAAATTTAAAAATGTATCAAGGGAAAAGTATAATAGCTAAAAGACTAAAAAATAAGGTGACACAAAGAAGCATTGCTGAAAAATCTGCACAAACACAATCATTTTGGAGCTGGAGCACCCGGAGAAAACCCACATCAGCACAAGGGGAACATGCACATGCAAACTCCACACAGAAAGTCCCCAGGTCCGAACCGGGGATTGAACCCAGGACCTTCTTGCTTTGAGGCGTCGGTGCTAACCGCTGAGACATCATGTTGCCAAACACAAGAAATAATGAATGAATTTTGTGCAGCAGTGATGCAACATCCTGCCTGAAATAATAAACTGATTACAGTTTAAACACAAAATCTGAACTGAAAACAGGGATTATCAAAAATAAAAGACTTGTGGCCACATTTGGGCACTGAGAAACTCTGGATTTAGTGACTGCTGCAGTGTGTTTGAGGTTATTTGACCTCAAATTCATGTTCAGGATCAGTCTGTTGTGTTGTGTAAGGGGAAACTCTGCGGCTGGTTAAGAATTAATATTTGATGCTGACAGAAAGTATGTTCTGTTCTCATCTACTGGGAGAGTAATCGACCATGACCCATCTGTCAGGGTTGGTGCTGTTCAGTTTACTGCTGCGACCACGTGGACCGTACAGTACAGTAATACTCTGTCTGAACAAACTGGTAAACAGGTCAGTGAGCAGCTCTTATGTAAAACACAATACACTACAACTCTACACAATAAAAGCCTCACACATCCTTTTAAGGGATGTTATTTAAATTTTACTGGATATGGCAAATGCTTTTTTTATTTGCGACTATTTCATGCTTTAGTAAAAAAAAAATCTTTATTTTTGTCATGATGTCTGTGAGATGTCTTCTTGAGATACAGTTTGGTGTGCTGTGACTGTCCCTTATTCTGTGTCCTGGTGGACATTGACAGTAATTGATGGGACTGCACTCCCACAGCTGTTGTCTCTCTGCTCACTGGAGTGGAGAGCTCAGTATTCAGCACTATATTTTTTTCAAGAGCTTAGCTTAGCTGTTTGCATCTTTTTTTTATTTGCTTTCCAGCATTTTGCATGAAAGCAAAGTAAGCATGCAATTGATTTTTTGGAACAAGCTTTTTTTATGACAAATGTGCTGTGTCTCCATTTGGGGCTAATAATACCTTATATATGTTATTATGTTTTATTTAATGTAAAAAACATTTTACATGAACTAAAAACAGCATGTTCAAACAATAGAAACAAATGAAGCAGGATTAATTTAACGTGTGTCTCAGTTGTTATTATTGTGTCAAATCATCTCAGCTCCTATTTAATCTGTTTTTAATGTTCCTGTTTAAGTTCTTACTTCCTCCTTTTAAACATGAGTGAATTCAAACGAGCCAGCTTTCTGAGTTAAATCAATTTTATTTGTGTCTCTTTAAGTTTTGTCCATGCGTTTGACTCGTTGCAGTTCTTGGATATTAAGGTTCAAGCAGTCTGCCTTTGAACAGCAAATTCAAGGAGAAAAAAATATGCTTGACTGATGAAGCAAAAAGAAAAAAAATTGTATAGGTCCTCTGGACGGGTTCTTCTCTAATGAAACGTTTCGTCTCTCCTCCAAGAGACTTTTTCAGTCTGAGAGTTTCAGGCAAAATTCAGGCTTTTAAGCCCTGCCTCCATGTGACTGATACTCACATCACATG